CATACCATCATTGTACTGCATTTGCAGTGATCTAATTTTATGAGGAGAACGCAATCGGTTTAGTGGAAACAGTGATTATGATAGACAACTGTGCCAGTGATTGTTGTACTGTACCTTTTTGTTTATCTGTATCAAAAGCCCACATTTTCTGCCGTTTTTGACCTTGACCTTTTTCGAGTACGCACGATATTCTCGTCTGTACAATTTGGCGCGCTCTCGGTATTGGTCCAATACCACTAGATCGTCAACAAATATGTAATGATCACAATCTTCAACTTTCTCTCTAATATCTGTTCTATGAAGGATCTAACTTGGTAACTGGTATGTAATTGGCCTGTAGTGGTGATCATAGTCGACTACGACTCATGCTATTATACATTCACATGTAATCTGCTGACTTACAGTTGGTTCTGTCCCATTATCTACTGTCCTAATTATAACTATATCACTCCTACAAAATACCACCTACTTCAATAAAAAATTTTCGCCGCTAAATCTCAAATGCTTATAGTGTGGTCAAAAACCCGCCCTCTTCATCATAATAATATACTGCACTGCTATGAAGCCTAACCCATAGTTCATAAATTGTAACAGCCGGACTAGCCTGTAAAACAGAACTTACAGAAGTAGTGTTTCTCAAAAGGATGTGAAATAAGTGGAACCTCAAGGAGAACATAAAAAATTATCCAACGATCGTTTGAAATGAGCTTAATCGCAAGAAAATAGGGTAAGGTTGGAGTTACTGACCAACGAACATAGATGGTGATGACTTCAACCCAACCATGTTTGTGGGGCAGAACATTTTGTTTGCTTCCGGTTCTAATTGATTGATGAAGCGATTAATCAATGATGTTGAGGACTGTTTCATACATTTACTTCTCACAAGACTTACGTTTTCAATTTTATGCCGAGACCGCTACTCCGCCAACATAACCTGCAGCGTGTTTACTCGGGCGCTTACAACATGACTTAGAGCTTGGCACTTGATTGAAGGAAAAGACAGACAATGAGCAACATAGTTATCAATATTTTTCATAAGTTTTACACTTATTCTTGAACCTTAAGCTTTAATACACAGACATCCAGCTTACTTCAGCACTTTGGTAGCTTCAGTGACCTTAAACATCAACTCCTTACCTTTTGATGTTCCTTTGAGGTAATATGACGATGGTCGTTTTTGTTGTGCACAACCGGGCAAAACTGGCGATAAAAGTTAATTGTTCCTATAAAACGCATCTGTTCAGTTAAGGAACTTGGTGTAGAGTTTTGTTCACTGGTATCCATCTACTAACTTACTGGTATATTTCCTTCTCCGATTACTGTATTTTCGAGAAATTTTAAAGTCTTCACTCAGAAATAGCACTTTTTGATGTATATTCGTGCCATTTTCATTTAGCTGATAAACCTTTTAAATGTATTTAATGAGTATCGAAAGCCTCATGGAATACGTAAAAATGAACAGTCCAAAGTGGATGGCTGTATTGAGAATCGCTTCCTGAGCTACTGGAATATTGTAATCTGTCTTGATCAAGTCAGTTTTACTAGATGCATCCATATACTGTAGCTCGTTTTTAAAGTAATGGATATGAAGTATTAGGTACCTGTCCTGTATGGTCTGACGGTTGAGGGCTCTTTAATCCCTAAAAGGTTTCCAGTCAACTACATTTTTCTTTGGGACCATGTGTAGAAGTGATAACCATCGGCTATCAGATGGAGGGATGTTACTCAGCTCTAGCACTTAGATAAACTTGGCTCCTATCAGGTGCTTATGTTCTGGGGCTTGTAAGCACAGGTGCACCTTCAGTTTTGATTGTGTGACTTATCTTTAGCTCAAGTTTATAAGCTTAAGAGATAGGTTTTGTCAGGTTTGTAAATTCCTTTAAGTTATCTTGGGATTCTGTAATTGTCACTGGGTGAGTTTGTAGAGATTTCATTTTAACGAACGAAACACGAATGGTTAAATAAAACATGCATTATCGTAACAGCTTATACTAGTGAACGTTTTACCGGACATTTTGTTTATTCGTACTTTTGTACCAATTTTCCCTTCTGCACAGTCACCATCTTGATTAGCTGCTCTGTGACTTTCGCCCATTTTCTCTAGCACAATTTTGGAATTCTTTTAATACCAACAAAATCGCCAGCAAATATAATCATTTCATCTGGACAATCCTAGCTTCATTTTTCATTATTTTGAGACGGGTTTACGCCTCAGACCTGAACGTAATTAGTTTGTAGATGCGTTCAGTCATTTGACTCGAACTTATACAAGTTTTTGCAAAATTAAGAGGAATGATGTGTTGTCCTTTGACTTTTGTGTTTTATAAGGTTTCTTTCAGTTTTAAACGCCGTTTCTTAGTGAAGACTAGAAATTCGTATTTCTCCAGAACGTTCATTCTCATCATTGCCAGATGGTGGTTCCCCTTAAATTCAGAATCTAATATTGACGACTTTCGACCAAACGTCTAGATTTCAGCCTTGATAGCAGCTTGAAGTGTCGCTGTGGGTACTTATCCACAAACGTTAGTTCTGTTCTAAAGAATGATGCTCAGTACATCATTTGTATCCATCAAAAAGTCGAAGCTAAATTTACAGTCCCTAACACAAATTAAGCAACAAGGAAGTCAACCCTGCTAAGTTGTCACATGTGTATGGGTTTGTAGTGGAACACTTTTGCGAAGAAAACGCGATTGGCGAATAAACATTTGCTATTGTACTCGTTTTGTTTAACTGTACCAAAAACACTTCCTTGCGCGCAACGTTCTGTTGGCGATGCTGCAATTTTTCATAACGTGCTTCACTCTATGTAATGCCTACTTTCCCCTTCAATAAATATTCGAACATGGATTTATTTATTTATTACGGGACGGGACAATATGGAACATTTAGTGGTGATCATATTCAATCTGGACTCGGTCACCACTAAATTTTATTCGTTTCCTACAATCTTAGGAGTCTGTTTTGAACTTGCGCTGACTGGTTGATTGGCCCTAGGCTTTCATTTTTACCAACAGAACTGTGCGGATTGCTAAGGTGTCAGTGACCTTCGATTTCTGCAATCCATTGTCTCTGCTAGAATCATGATATGGGCGATGAGCTCTGATATGACAAAGTAACCTTATATTCAAGGGTTTTATTCTTTATTTAGTTTGGCGTTCAGTGGTATGTAACGAAAATAAAGATGCATAACCTGAGGAAAAATGATTTTTAAATGAAAAATGTTCAATCAAAATATTTACAGGTGTATGTATTAATTTATCGGAATGTTGGGTTTCACGGCTAAAATAAGTAATAATACGTGTACAAAGAAAGGGCTGCCGGTGTTGCAACCTACTGTCTTCCTCTGTTCTATATATTAAATGCCCACCACGTGGTTGTGGTAGGTCTTTATAGAGTTCTTGTCTAGAACAGTGGAACGGGGTCACTATTAAAAAAAACGACCATTCGGATTACGATAGTACAAATATAATCTTATCCATACACTTCATGAAAAGCCGGAGATAGGACTACAAATTTCCTTTCTTCTGGTAACTGTTAAGAGTCTAAGGAGAGCTTAAATATTCCAATCTGGTGGTGAAAATTGGATAATCCGCATTACTTATGGGATATTGAAGAAATCGCGACAAATTCAATATTCCATGATTAGTTAGACTGAACTTGTTGCTAATTTTTACTCGGAGGTGATGCAAAGGCATTATTCCAGATCTCATTTATTATCGATTCCGGCTGTAACACAAGCACAGTTGCACTAATCCTAGGTGACTTGAGGTAAGAACATAATCAATTGTTGGTCATCAAGCTCAGTGTTAGGATGAGATTTTTTATTATAGTGAGCTAAGAAGTTTCTTTCATTTTGCTCCATTTTCCTTTGTTTCTTAATCTAGTGGAAGCATATACATGCTAGAACGACTTGCGACAAACGTGCTTGCATTGAGAGTAGAGTGATGCCTCTGTAGTTCTTACACTTACTGAAATCCCCTTTCTTTGGTATCTTGATATTTTCTTCTTTGCAGTCTGTTGGTATTTGATCTTTTGCTCCACGTCAACCAAAATTTGAGATTCTAAATGATGGCGTAACAAAAGATGAGAAACAATGAACCGGTTGTAGTTCTAGCTGTGAACATCAAACTTTGAACACATTCTTCACATTTACTACATCAATGGTAAATTTTCTGTCACAAGATACACTATTTTGATTTTATCCCATTTAGGTATGAACGTGTCACTTAATTTTGTGTTCATATAATCTGTTAGCATGTTTTGGTTACAGGCGATCTGTTCTGTGTAGTGTACCGCTTGAATGGTAGTATAATCCCAGGCTTGGACATGGAATCAAACGCTATGACTGGAGATCAATCAAGATCAGATCATTCCTAGGTTTAGAATCAGTAAAGCTTCGTAGTAAAGTGATACAAAGACAATGGATGTCGTCTAATTTACATTCAAAATGAGGCACAGGCGCGTGTTGAACTTCTAAGCCACATCAAGGACATCCTTTTAACCCATGTATGCTCTACATCAAAGTACAATGACTTGATGTAATAAAATCTGTTATGGCAATCTATATCTACTTGACAGATTGTTTAAGATATGACAGTATTTTTACACTCAATGTTACACAGGACACCTGACTTCTGTTAAACTGGTGAAGCTGCATAATGGTTAACACAGATATGAGGTTGTCTAGTTCGGGAAATTATTAAGCCAGTATGTGACATCACAACCAGATACCTGACCCTGCAGATAAAACACAACTTTTACGTACACGAATAAAGACAACTTAGACTGAGTTGTGTTACCAGCCTTCGTAATAATAAAGTGAAGCTCAAAGCCGACAACGTAAAACTGCATACATTGAATGAGTTAAACAACATACAAGTGAATCACAAGTGTGCTGAATAAAGTACAAGTTGAATACAAAAAATAGTGTATACGTAATCATTGTTAATGGAAGATAAGTTACATATATATTTCAGGAAAAATAGACACATAAAGATAACCTATTTGAGACGTTTTCTATGCCTGTCTGTTTGAGGTTGTTTATTTTCGTCGCGGACCCGTAAAGGTACGTGTCGAGACACGGTTGAGACACCATCTACAAATTTTGTTTTGAATAGGACATTAGCATTGTTGAACATTCCATCTTTGAGTGACACTACGATGAACTATATGCAAAAGAAGCACCAAAATAGAGGTAATCAGATTAAGTACTGTAAAGTTGTAAGATGCATCATGAGTTGCATTAAACAAGCAAAGTATTTTCTAAAATATATAAGTCACTGATATAATTTACTTAGATACAATAATCATAGTACCGTGATGTACATCGAAAAAAACAACCACTATACACAATACTGCGAGATTTCATACATTGGTTATTTAGACCGTTGAACAGTAAGACGGATCGATTAAAAAAATTAATAGGTTGCAGATTATAATCTCACCTCATACACTAAGATTCGTGCAAAGTATACCCAAAACTAGTTTACTGACCTATTTTAAACGATTAGCCGTTGAAGTCAGTAAATCGGTATAAAAGTTAATTAACACCAAAACCTTTATTAATACTGCTGAGAAGAAACGGGCCTAAGAAAAGTCACTGAGAAAATATACTGTGATGTAAGATAAAAAAAAAGTTGAATTCATGGTTTCACATTAGATTAGGCATCATACAAACGATTACTTTATGTCCCATAGCATTCACCAATCCACATAATCATAGAAACACACACACCTCACCTATTTGTTGGGTTAGGAGATTAGGCATAATTATCAATGTAATGATGTAGTAATTTTTAATAAACGTTTATTGCAAATGAAAACAATGGTCAATTTCATAAGACATTTTAATATACCTACTTGTGAATGCTTAAAATGATTTTTAATCAATTGACCAATATTTTGTGTATGAGATAAATCAAGCGCTGCATCCACCTCATCTAATATGTACAACGGTGCAGGTTTGAAGAGTAATAAAGCCAAAATAAGTGACAGTGCAGCTAATGACCTACGGGAAAGAAACAAAAGGAATAAATCATTACAAAAGTAAAGAATGAAAACAGAAATTTGTCTTTTTGTATACATTCAGTTCTTCATCAGTGACTTAAAAAAGCCATGAGCAGTTTGTACATCTTGCAGATATACTTCATATTTATTACAAAGGTGAAAAATACAATTCCACACTTATGGATACATATCTTTATTCTTTGATTAAAAATGCCTACATTCAGAGTTGTCGATCAGAGCATAGTAATTATTCAACAGTAGGAGTTCACTAAAATGAATACGACATGTCATAGATGAACTAAACCTCAAAAATATTTGTTGATCTCCACTAATGGAAAACTGATAAGCACTTAATCTTGAATGAAGCCCGAATGACTTAATTGGAATACCTTCAACTGTATTAGAGCGTGACCTAGGTTCGAACCTTTGAGAAAACAACTGGTTTATTAAGCAGAAAATGCTCCTAACTACTGATAACTGAAATACATGAATACATGATTAAAAGAACGAATAATTGAAGTAGTATAGCAAATTAAGGTTGTTGTATAAATCAAGTAGTAGTCATTATTGTTGGGATTTGAACAGGCCATCGGAGTTATATGCTTAGAAATCCGAATATCTCACACACCTACTTGAAGTTTTGTTGATAAAATTTTTAAGAACACTGAAAACTTCACGATTAGACCATTTAACTAAGAGAACGAAACTCGACCGAAATCATTCACCTCAGCTATGAATTTTTTCACCAACTACTCACCAGTGTCTATATCGATGAAATCAGTAAAATAAAATTTCTATGAAATAAATTTTCTTTAAAAGGTTAACTTCTGGTAAGTAAATCAAACGATACGAAACATGATTTCAAAATAGTCAGATGAAAAAATCAAATGAAAATTAATATTTTCCAAAATATTAATTTGACTACAAATAAACTCATACCTTTGGCCACCACTTAATTCTCCAAGTGATTCTTTCCAGACGTCACCAAATGCAACCTTAATTTCTAATCCATCAAGAACACCCATACCTTCTGGAGGAGACAAACGTGCTTTACTTCCTGGTAATAGAGTTCCAAAAATATTACAAAATTCCTAGAACAGGTAGGAACGACAAAAAGTGAAGTACAAATGTAAGCACAGGTGATTTGAAGAAACTTAAATGAACATGTTTATGAAAATTACAGTTGTTAATACAATTAACTATTTTACATCCTACAGCCAGAAAGTAGATAGTGATGTAATATGAGTTAAATTTTAAACTAATGTTAAATAGTACTTGGTGTAGAACCACATTGGTTATTTATACATAAATATTCCAAGAACGCAAGACAGTCTTTTGACATGAATCAACTTCCTTTGGATTAGTCCGATGAATCTAATAATTATTATCACAAAAATCTAAACATTTGACTAGTTTACAATACAGCAGAAAATCAAAGTAATCTTAGTCAAATACATAACTAGTGTGATAATTATATTCACAAAATCTAGTCAGTCCAATAAATCCTACTCAATATAGAATCTGGTACATGTCTATACTGGTTCATTATGTCACACATCCTTAGCACAGTGAGATAAAATTTTCAGGGCGAAAACTCGACAGTAGTAAAACTAGTAACATTGTTAATGGGTAAAAAAAATTGGACCTCAGGGATACGTCTTGAGAATAATAATTTAGAAATTTAGAAACTTAGGATTACAGGTAATAGAAACATTTGATGCGCCTGTACTATTGCGACCAATTTTGAGTTATGTTACCCAAAGTTTCAGTAACCACAACCGCATGGATCTCAACCAGATAGTCTGAGCCTGTTAAAATGACTCAGGCGAGCAGTCAGTGTCTTCATGAACTGATGCCGTATCTTAGTGTGACTGACCTTAGCTTCCTTCTAACATACTCATACTCCAGTAGGTGGTTTTTGGATATACACAAAACAATTCATAACCATCTCAGCCGATGAAAATTCACTATCGCATTCAGTGGTTAGCCATCCTTCCCTAGGACTCTGAGTCTAACCTTGGAATCACAGTGGTCCCAAAATGTATACGCAACCGTTTAGAGAAACACGATTAAATAATAGTCACCTAAGAATATTCCCTATTTCCAAAGATATAGTTTCACAGCCATAAAGTAGGATGGAGTGAACTGTTGTGTTGTGAACTCGTTCTCTAACTCGCAGAAGCTACAAATGACGTTAGTTGGCTAAGCCAACAAAGCCTTCTGAATTCGTCTCAAGATTTTGTAGGAAACACACGAACCAAAGCTAAATGCATTCGTAAGGAAAGAAAATTGTTCAACACATCCAAATACTTCACTTCCTGTCATTATTTCAGGCCAGTTCTGAAGTAACAGTTAGTATTTACGGAGATATCCAATCAAAATGAATTATAATAGCATAAGATGAAAATTACACTGACCTCATTAACTTTATTATGTGCACTGAATAAAACTTCTTCTTTTCGTTTATCTAAATCGTCAATAACTGTTTGAATTTTACGTTTATCAGCTAAAACAATTTCTTGGCGTCTAATCAATTCGGAATATTGCTTTTCAGCATTACCGAGCATATTCATTGCACGCATGTTTACAGTTCGACTAAGACGATCACGACGTTCTTTCAGTGAAGTAATTCGTCGACGTGTTTCAACAGGATCACGTGAAGTAAAACAATATGCACCATTTTCAACGCCGAAATGTTGTTTTTCTTCATGAATCCATGGATTTGCTTCTAAGAGTCGTTCCATCTATTTACAAAATATGTTGATGATATAAATAAACACGTAAAACTAATATTTCTATCAAAATAATTCAACAGTGTAACCATGGAAATACAGATAAACATGTCCAAATATCAACGACTATGAATTAAATGACATTTTCCTGTGTACACTTGCATCTTACGTCGTAGGATCAAATTTTTCAGATAATCAAGTTTTAGACCTAACGGATTTTTATCACAATTTTGTTAAAAAATAACAAAGTCAGTGATTATAAGCAAAGAGTCTAGGTATGGATGTGTGTCGACTGAAGTTATTATTAACACATCAACACAATAAGGTAAAAATAACGAGCTGAAACATGTCATCAATCACTAATGATGAGTATTTTGCAGACCCAAACCATGCAGTATGCATCTATCAACATCGTTCAACAATCAACGATCAATGAAGAATACAAGAACTGATGATTATTTTTTTTTAAATAATAAGATTATGAATATGTTTGAACAAATAACTTTGTCATATATAGGCATGATAAGGTGTTAATGATTGTTTTTATTGTAACCATTTTCCTAGTATTAACGCTTTTACGAAAAACCTTAAATAATAAATAAAAGTATTGTATAAATGATGATGGTACTAATAGTATGTCTTAATTCAGATAAAATTAAGTTGATATAGTGCTAAATTAAGATACGGAAATCAACTGTACCGGACAATGTAACAAAGTGATTACCGAATCATTTAATTTAATATTAATTTACGTGAACACCAATTAGCAGTCAAACACCACGACAATTCTTCGCTTATATCAATATACACCGACAATTATGGACATGCATTCGATTGGAACAATGTGAAAATACTGGATAGGGGGAAGTTAGCAGAACAAGCTACAGGTCAAACGTGGAGAAATTCAAATGCTTCACTTCTATTTGAAGTTTGTACTGATGATGTTGTTCAGAAGAACAAAGAAAGCTCCACAACCAAAACATCCAGCTCAGAGAAAGAAACACCACTACCTGAGCTACAAATTTTCTTCACCATCTCGATAATGACTAATCTGAAGAAGTAATTCTTGTAATTCCAGTGAGAAGTCATGACCATTGGATGTCAACAATATCTAACGTGAGGCAGTTTTCCACGAATTACATTGGAATAAGAATGCACGATATTACCAATAAGTACAAGTTAAACATCTAAATCAATGAGTGACAGTTGAGTGGTTTAGAGTTAAAGCGTTGATATGCAAGATCTAAGGTCCTGGGTTCGAAATATACTAGTGGAATCGTGGATGCACACTACAAGGGAGTTACACAATAAAACAAAACAGTTACCTGGTCCATTCTGACTCCGAACAGTTATTTAATTGATATCAATCAGTGATATCAAGTATGCAATAAATAAAGAGAGATTAAAAATAACCGAGCAGTTCCATCAAACATGATAGGAAATTGTAGAAATTTATTGAATTTCAATGAACTACGATAGGGAACTTGCATCTTTTTAAAAAATATTGTGACAATTAAGAAGAAGAATTGATAAATAAGATGAAAATTTGTTACCTTATTATCAGCTTCTTCATTTTCTTTAGTTTGCATTTCAATTTGATGAGAAAGTTTATCCACTTGACTATTTGTTTGATTCAATGATTGAACTAACTGGCCAGATTCTTTCTCTGCAGCTGCTAAAGCACGAACGGTATCATCGATTAGTCCTCTTTGTTTATTAACAGCTTCACGTGCTTTAATTAAAGCTTCTTTAGCTGATTCTAATGCGTTGACACAACGTTCTTTTTCTGATTGTGCATCTTTTACAGCTTGAATCGCTTCTTCAAGAGATAGCTTAATAAATAAATATAAACAAAAGACAGTGCGGTAAATCACAAATTAACCATATATTTAAGATGTAATAATAACATGCTTCAAGTTAGAACTAGTTAACACTCTTTAACAGTTTCATATTGTGAGCTACCTCCTGTTTTCAAAGATCAACATAGTGAAATCCGATATTTTAACAGATACATATACATATAGAATTGTTTCTTGACTTTTAGAAATATAGTTCAAGATATATTTTACTAGTAAGTTTAATCGCGAACAGACAATTTATTTAACCAAAACTAATCAATCGGCGTAATATGCAAATAAATTAGTGTTGTGAACACGAGTCAGAGAAATTGTGCCATTCATATATTCCCCTATTCACATCCACTTTTGGTTTGCTCATGTGAAACTCTTCAACAATTTGAGCAGCCGGGAAGTGACATCCGCCCTCAGACCTGTAACAACAGAAGAGACCAAATAAATAACAATCAAATCCTTCCTATACCGCTTAATAACTCTCATCTCCACGACCAACCCTCTATCCATTACTTTGACACCTCGCGCCGCTGATGCAAACGTTTCGATTTCATGAAATATGATTCCTGGTCTCCTGAAATCTAGCTCGAGACTATATGCTGGAACCTCAAGCCAAATAGGACAACAAGTTTTCGTACCTAGGACTCTAGAATCTCATGCCATCGATGTACGTCGCATCTCCAAAACGCGCACACATGACCCGAGTAGAATCATTAATTTTACTTTACTTTATGCAGAGAAAGAACTAACTCATTTTACGCTTCATGTATGTGGAAGCCCTAATGTTATTTCCCGTAGCCCATCTGGTGTAGGTATTGGTAGAACTAGCTCTCTTAGACTGGATGCCAGCAGACAGTCGTTTGTGCTATGTCCGACCAAAACGGACATTGAGAACTCCTGAAGATAGGGACACTCGCCGTTGCCTCTTCATCGTCTCTGCCTACGTTCCGCTGATGCGGTGGAAGATGATTTTTAAAGAAAGCTTTCGGATCCCCTCCAAGAAGTTAGGCATTATGGTGGCGGGTGACTTTAATGCCCAAGTAGATAATTAAGCAAAAAGGAAAGAGACCTGAGGGTGTAGTGGCTCATCGAACATATTACGGCGACCGTCTGTTGCAGCTATTGCCTGACTATTGCCTATTTCTGGCAAATAAAAACTTTAAACCATAAGGAAAAGCATATTTTGACATGAACCCGACTAGAATATATCGCTATCAGATACCGATGGAGAGGCTCGATTGAAAACTTCTGACCTTTCTAGAGCACGTGTCTAGATTTACATCACGCTCTAGTGCGAGCGCGTATTTGTCTGCGTCTTACTAGACGTAGAAAAGACACTGTAACGAAACCTCTTAGGGTTCTACTTAATGATAGAAAGCCAAGAGTATACTTCAGGAGCAACTAGAAAAAGTTACGCAGCCAGGTAAGTGATGTTCACCTCAAGACAGCTTGGAATGATATCAAATAAGCTGTGGAAACAGTGATGATATCTGCCAGTAAAGCAAACCATACAGTTAAGAAGAAGCACTAGATTTTAGTAGCATCCATTGAAATGATAGATGCTCGGTAACTCATACCATTTGGCTCTGAACATGACGAAGAGCGGAGCAAGCTTAAGTGCAGACTGACAAGAAAGCTACGCGATGATCGTGATGGTGGGTAGAGAAAGCAAGAGGGATGAAAAGGCAGTGGCAGAAGGTGACAGTAGATAACTATTCAGACTTATCAAGGAGACTGGTACTAGGAATCCTACCGTTAGCTAGACTATCTCGGAAAAGGATGGGACTAATACTATTATCAATCCAGGAGATTGGATTGATGGGCACAACACTTTAGGGAGCAGTTCACCGGGACTTCAGCCATACTTTGATTACATAACGATCTCCAGTCAACCTGAATTGAAATTTGATGTAAGTCGTTTGATACTTAGTGTTGGGGAGGTTAGATCCCCAGAACTCACTTGAGAAAGGTCCCAACTTCGGGTTTTATTCATGGGCTGACTAGTTGACCTTGAGATTACGTTCCCCCCAGGAAAATCCTTGACTGTTACTGGTTGATGTGTTATTTTAGTACGCTATTTCTGTGACGTATAAATAAACTCGATTTGCGTGCTTCAGGACCTCATATTTTCTGGCGCTTGTAGAATACACTTTATAATCCATATCAAGACTTCTTTCTTCAGTTAGACGGAAGAAACGGATTAGAGTAGCCTATCGTGTCACTTATTCATTGTCTTCGCTCTCGTTTACCAATTAAGGTGAACTCGTAATAGTTCAAGCATATCAATTGACGAGCTAACACTTAATGAGGTTGAAAAGACTTCAGGTGATCTAAAGCGAGGGAAAGCAGCAGGCCCTGATAGGCTAGACCCTGAGATATTTTAATGATGGTTGTCCAATTTTAGCAGTTACATTGACTGAGATCTTAGGTAGGCCAGTTGGGAACTGGATGTAATCCCATCTAACTCCTCACAATCACTGACTGTCCCAGTCTATAAGAGAGGACAAAAAATCCTCTTGTGAGAATCACAGAGGAATCAGTTGAACAAATAAAGTGTCTGAAATATTGGATTCAATAATACTCCGATGCCTAACCAGTGCTCGCGAAGAGCAGACTAGAGAAAACCAGGCTGGTTTTCGACCTGGACGTGGTTGTATAGACCAGATATTCACACATGATCAGGTGTTAGAGCATAGATACATTCCGACGTCCGACAATTGTTGTATTCCTGGTGGCATTTGACTCGGGTTCAGTGGCAGTGTCTGTCATTGGAAGAAGTACCGAGAAAGTATATTAACCTTTTACAAGCTCTCTACTCTAACACTATTGGCGGAGTCAGAGCTTATGGAGAACTGTTATCGGGATTGATCAATTAAGGTGGTGTAGGTCACAGCTGTCCACTTTATCTATTTTTGTTTAGCTTGGTCATCGACATGCCTTTCAAAAGAACACTTTAATCGACTGACTTTTTGTAAGTTGACCTTCTACCAGGAGAGTGATTTTCTTGTTTAATTGGAATTCGCAGATGGTATATTTCTGCTTGATGAATACGCTGACAAAACACAATCTTCTGAAGCAGAAACGCAAGCATGTTTTGGATGAAATTTTCTCTCTCCAAATTCAAAATTTTGCTCCAGAAGTGGCTTGCTTCAGCGTCTGGACTAGTGACAATGCGTCGACTGTTTCACTGATTGTGTTAGTCTTATCAGTCCTGATTGTCTGGTGTACGAAAAAATCTTGACACAGATACAGAAAGCTCGACTGGCTTTTGCAAACTTGCGTCATTTATGGCATAGGAGAGATATCCATCTAATAAACAAAGGTCTACTGCACAATAGTTCACTCCATCTTAATCTAATGGTGTGAAACATGGCCAGTAAGCGCAGAGGATATTCGTGGGATAATAGTATTCGATCATAGGTGTCTTCGAAGCATAGCTCGTGCATCTTGAGACAACCCAGTAAGCAATGCTGTCGTTAAGAAACGAGTACTAGGTAGGGATGGCAAATCAATAGAAGTAGTGAAACTTTATCAGTTGAGATGGTTCTGATATGTGTTACGAATGCTTAACCGCCGACTGCCTGGACGAGCGATGTTTTGTCGTGTAGGAGTACGCTTGAAGAAAGCCACGGATGGCCAAACCAAGACACGGCACAAAGGCTTGACAAATGGACTGAGCCATGTTAGTAGGTGTAGACAACCTGGTTGGGGTCCACGAAACAATAGTAAGCAATCGTTAAACTTTAAATGCCATGGCTCAAAATTGTTAGTAATGGCGCAGATGAATCCATTGTTTGTCTCCTCTCAAATCCCCTGAATTCCTCATGACCGTATTTTCTTCTTTTTTTTTAAATTGATTCCTATGGGGCATACTTCTCGAATGATATATTTGATTACTAACCTAGTTGAATACCGCTAATACATCTACTACCTCTACTACTATGGGATTCGAATTAACAATCCGATCTCTGTGTGCTAATGTGCTTCGGAAACTTGAACCGATGTACGTACGTACGAAGTTCTAAGCTGTTGCTGACTGACTGACTGCTCATGCATAAATGTATTTGCTCATTCTATGGTGTGATGTGGCCTGGTATGTTTGTGTATAAACTATTGTCTGCTTGAAATATAACGGATTTTGTAGAGACTGGCTATAGACTTCTAAGCTAAGACAGAGTAGAGAGAAAGAAGCTATCACATTGTGAGCCAATAAGGATTTAGAGATGACTGCAGGTTACTGGTGGTAAGACGTAACTGTGACTGATGTTTTGTCACGTGATCAAACACAACGTAACGCATTCAACTGCAAGACACAATGCTTCTTTGAGGGCTGGTGACGATACTACCCGATTACCTTCGCTGACATGGTCCGATAAAGGTTCAAATATATGATCAGTTAGCAGGTAGCTCAATGAACTACATCTTAATTAGGTGTTAACAGATGCGTTGCGGTGAAGCAGTAGTTAAAGAGTTTGAGCTTACACTATTAAATCGCAGGTACGAGCCGCGCTTTACTAACTTTGCTTTGGGCAAAACGGTAGTATAATTAGCCTTCATATTTAGTGTGGCTCATACCCGACCACCTGAAAAATGGGTGAGACAGTACACATGTTTTGTATTTTAATAAAATCCAAAAAATATTCAGAAATACGGAGGCACACAATAAGTTGTTTTATTGAACAATAATATACAGATGCTGCTGGTATTATGTTCATTCATCTACATGATATAAATACCCGTGCACAGACTGGTGTACTTGGCTTTGAGCTAAACTATATGTGAAGGTTAATGATGTTAACCGGCCCAACAAACTGAAGTAGATAGAGCAGGACTCATATCTACGACTTAGTGGTTAATGGTAAATAAGACATAAAAAAGGGACTGATTACTCTAGTCAAAAAACCTGATAAATCTAATTATTTAACTGAGAAAATAAAATACAATTACTTTTAAAGTATTGAGTTCTTTCGCAAGTTCTTCAGCTTCTAAACGTAAAGTTTCTTTCAGAGAGTTTTTTTCCCTTAAAGCAGTAGTTGCGGCTTCGACTTGTTCTTTAGCTTCTGTAAGTGCTTTTTCAGCATCTTGTTGTTCTTTTTTCTGTTCAGCTACAGCATTTGAAGCTTTCTCATGAGCTAATTTCGCTTTTAACGATGCTTGAGTAAGACGGTGTTCAGCGTTTCGTAAAGATTCTTCCACTTGTTCTACAAACGAAAAAATGAATTCATTAAAATAAAAATATGTACTTCTGAGAAATTAATTATCCTATGAATAAATACTGTCTAACAGATTTTGACAATCAGATGGAGAAATTCAATAAAATGGGCGTGCAGTCAAGTGTTAGTGTTCATATTAAGACTCAAACCCAATACTTTTCACCTCAAACATCTAACCCATAATCTTTTGAACTATGCAGTTCAAAAATAAACTAACTTCTTTGATGAGTGTGATGTTATTGATACAGACTTGCGATTCCCGGTCGACATTGTCGACTGCGACTAATCAGCATATCAATGGACAACATATTGGTATTTCAAAAGAAACATACCAGATTTCATTCGTAGTGTGGACATCAATAGCAGGATATGGGTAAATTTAGCTAACAGGTCCTAAACAGAACGAAACGAGCACCCTAGATTACACGGCTAGCCAAGTACCAAATATACTAAAACTTATGACTAAAGAATGTATTTAGTCAATCCATTCGGAAAGCCCATATGAGAGTAGTGACTGATTAATCGAAGTTCTCAATATTAACAGTATGAAAGTTGTAGCTATCACTATCAAAATTTATTCACCAATATGACAAAAAAACACTTAGTTGACTATCAATGTAATTGGAATCCCAAAAGGAAGTGGGCAAAAAGGTAAGCAAGACGTGGTTAACACTTTGACCATTTGATTTACTGACTGATATTTAATTGTACATATATCAATCACTTCTGATTGAACAAAATTAACATTTGAAGTTTTCACTTTGATGTGGGTCACTGAAAATATTAAACACTAGTCCACTTAATTAGTTTAGTAGTCGAATAATTTTTTAAATTATGCAGAAATTCAAATCAGAGTAAAAATCTAAAAGTCTACATTGGACAGAAAGAATTGACAATAAAAAAAAACGAAAAAATGTTTGTTAGGAGGACAACGCCCTCCCGTGGAATCGTACAGTACAGTCAGATTACTATTGTTTTAGCCGTAAGAGCTTTAAATTTCGACGTATAAACTACTATCTCACCTAGGAAATACATTATTTATAAAGTATGAAACAACAAAAGGCGCGAAAAACGATGTTGAACTGTTTAAACAAACCGCTAATAATTAATCTCTAAGTAACAACTAGTAAGACAAACAACATTGATAGCCACCGAATTCTACTGATCTAGTCTGCATACTAACATAATTAACCTTTTAAGGCAAACACAATGGATGTCGGTTGTCAATTAGTTGAAAATCGTCATCTTTTTCAGTTCTGACTTTAGGGTACTTCATTCAGTGGAGTAACTATACCTTTGTAATAACAACAGTTCAACTAGGCTAACTACGGATCATTATCTTTACATAGCATAAATACATACAATAACGTGGCCATCCAACTATTTAGTAAATGAAGTGACTTTCTGTGAGATGCGAAATTCAATAACCTCATCTTCGGAAGGGAAAAGTCACAGAAAGTTACACTCATAAAGCATACAAGAAAAAAAATTTAAAATGAACAAAAAAGGCATGGTATCAGACAGTCAAGTGACCAATATACTTTAATTCTTATATCCTGATCTATACTTTGAAGAAGGCAAATGTCAGTATTCTTTAGACTAATAATATTAAACCAATGTAACGATAAAACTCACTTAATTCCTCTTTAGTAGCAACCACGTCTGCACGTAGTCTATGTTCGTCTGTCTGTCTCATTTGAGTCTCTAAAAGGCCTAATTGATGACGGGCATTATCTAAGGCTTCTCGAAGATGACTAATATTCTGAGATCGCACTTGAGCTGCTTTGACATTTGCTTCACCTCGAGCAACATTTTCTTCAGCTTTCTGAGCAGCAACCTCCACATCACTCCACTTTAATATACGAGATAATAAACTATCTGAAGCAGTTCCCCGACTTCCACCGGATAATGTACCCTAGGATATGATGGGAAGTAGTATTAGAAAAAATATCTATAAATTCTAAAACAAATATGAGGAAAAGTCACTCAATAGATTTAGTAACATTTATCCATCTGTTACTGGAGGAAGAACAGCATAGCAATAAGAGTAGATGGAACAGTCAACAGTTAGGGATACTGTTGTATCCCTAACTGTTGGATCAATATCACGTGACAAATACAAACCACATCAGTTACAGTTACGTCTTACCACCAATAACCTCCAGTCATCTCTAAATCCTTATTGGTCCACAATGTGCTAGCTTCTTTCTCTCTACCCTGTCTAAGTCCAGAAGTCCATAGCCAGTCTCTACAAAACTCGTTATACTTCAAGCAGACAATAGTTTGTAAACAAACATACCAGACTACATCACACCATAGAATGAGGAAATATATTTATACAGGGAGCAAACCCAAAGTGGCTTTGAATAGAGTATGTGAATGGTAAACTGGCAAAAGATCAGTAATCACAAACCATACAAAGTTAGTTAGTGGGTTGATCAAGAGCTAATGACAAATGGAGTATAAATATGTAATAATCTAATTATTGAATAAATAAGCAATGAGAATATATATAATGTAATGATAATGATAGTAATAGGAGTTAAGATTTCTCTGATCTTCCTCCGGACATATCAGATACTTAGAGAATCTACAGCTGGACAACCTTCTCATTTCTATGGCACTGTACCAATCAAATACAAAAGAAGCTTGGTAAAAATCATTACTTATCGTGCCATAATGTTATGATGACACCATTGAAGATAAAGTGAGTATATTCGTAAACTACTTAGCGAGCAATGAAATCCGATGAAATTCACTAACAAACACATGAAAAGAAGACCGAAGTTAACTACTGCTCGAAAGAAAGTACTATTCTTAAAATTACAATTTCTAAATGATGTTACCGAAGAAGCTAGAAGTTGGTGCAGAAAACGTTTACCGCAGGCAAACTGAATGTTGTTCTCTATAATGACCCGATAAGTCAGTCAGTTGCAACGTAGAACTTCGTACGTATGTACATAAGTTCACGTTGCCATACCACATCAGCACAGAGAAGCAAATGTCAAATCAAATCCCATAGTGATAAAGATAGTAGAGGTATAAATGGTAATGAATAAGACTAGGGTTCGAATATATTATTGAAGAAGTATAATTCAGTGAGATAAGGTTAGAAATACAAAAAGGTAGAGGTGATGACGAATCCAGAAGATAAGGATTTGAAAGAGAGCACAACGAATGGATGCACTTGCACCATTGCAAACGATTTTGAGCCACGTCATTCAAGGTCTCTAACCATCGATTATTATCATCTCGCGGACCCCAACCAGGTAGTCCGAAATTACCGACATGGCTCAGTCCCGACCGTAGCTGCTACCTTGACGTGTTGGTCGGGCTTGCCTATCGTAATCACCCAACCGAGCTATACTGGCTGGAACATATGTTCCTGTAGGTCCTACCATGCCAGGCAGGTCGATTGGAGAACGATGAGACTAATAGCAGCTACCCAAGGTCTGAGGGCGAAGTCGTACTGCTGACTGCAGAGGGGTGTGACAGCAGTAAGGTGTTTCCCTCGGACAACCAGCATCTACAGCGATGCTGCCTTCTCACAAGGAAGGAAGGGTTAGAAAAGGTCGACCCTAAAAATGCCACACCTCCCCTACCTCACGGATTTCCATCTCCTTGGGTAAGGATGCCCACTAAGGGCCTTTAAGAACGCAGCTAATCCTCTAAATACCTTTCATAAAAAGGCCGTGCGTGACCGGGTAGGTGTTGGGATGGCCATTCGAGAAGAAAGCCACGCACATTGTGGATTGGTGAAATTATCGATTAAATGCTTAAATATTTCAAGGGCAGTCGATCGATGAATTATTGGATTTATTATTCAAATATTTAAACGACAATATCGATTATATGTATAATTGTTTAAATACGCATGTTTCATTGTATATTTTTGATTCTGTTAATAAGTACTCTCCAACGTCTTCCGTCTTCTTATTTTTGAACGGTGGGAGTCTAATCGTGATCACCCAACCGAGCTGCTACCTTGACGTGGTGGTCGGGCTTGCCTATCGTGATCACTCAACCGAGCTATACTGGCTGGACCATATGTTCCTGCAGGTCCTACCATGCCAGGCAGGTCGATTGGAGAACGATGAGACTAATAGCAGCTACCCAAGGTCTGAGGGCGAAGTCGTACTGCTGACTGCAGAGGGGTGTGACAGCAGTAAGGTGTTTCCCTCGGACAACCAGCATCTGCAGCGATGCTGCCTTCTCACAAGAAAGGAAGGGTTAGAAAAGGTCGACCCTAAAAATGCCACACCTCCCCTACCTCACGGATTTCCATCTCCTTGGGTAAGGATGCCCACTAAGGGCCTTTAAGAACGGAGCTAATCCTCTAAATGAAGATTTCCTAACGCTTTCTCAAATTCATTAAGACTAGAGGGACTTAGGTCGATTTGCCACTCAGGATGACTGGAGATCGTGGGTAACCGAAGAGTGGTTGGTGGCCAGTTGAACTGATCCCTAAAGTGTTCTGCCCATCGATCAAGTCTCCTGGATTGAGAATGGATAATAATCCCATCCTTTTCCGAGATAGTCTCACTTACACTATGATTCCTAGTACCAGTTTCTTTGATAAGTCGGAAAAGTTGTCTACTGTTGCCTATCGCCGCTGCGTTTTCCATCGCTTTTGCTTTCGCCACCCACCACTGTTCGCGGTCGTTACGCAGACTTTTTATAAGTCTGCGCCTAAGCTGACTACGCTCTTCATCATGCTCAGAGTCAGGTGGGATGCGTTTTCGAGCATCCATCAGTTCGGTGGATGCGACTGATATCCACGGCTTCATCCTAGCCCTATAGTTTACCTTACTAGCAGATATCACTGCTGTCTCCACAGCCTTTTTGATATCATACCAACCTGCTTCAGGATGGGAATCACTTATATCGTTGCTTAACTCTCTTTCTAGTTGCTCCTGAAATATTTTCTTAGTTTGATTATCAATAAATAAAACCCTAAGAGGCTTCCTTACGGTGTCTTTCCTACGTCCAGTAAGCCTCAAACAGATACGAGCTCGCACTAGGGCATGATCTGAATCCAAACATGTGCCCCAGAACGAGCGACAGTCTTCTATTGAACCCCTCCATCGGTGGCTGATGGCGATGTGATCTAGTTGAGTCCAACGTTGGGACGACTTCGGGAGTCGCCAGGTCAACAGATGCTTTTCCTTATGCCTAAAGTTGGTGTTCGCTAAGAATAGGCGGTTATCTGAGCATAGTTGCAACAGACGGTCGCCATTGTCTGTTCTCTCAGTCGCTACACCATAACATCCACCTAGATGTCTTTCCTTTTCACCTAGTCTACCTACTTGAGCATTAAAGTCACCAGCCATTATTACTATATCAGAGCGTCTAGCTTTTTGGAGGAGGTCCGAAAGCTTTCTGTGAAACTCATCTTTAACCTCGTCTGCACTGCAGTCAGTGGGGGCATAGACAGATATGACGAAGAGGCAACGGCGAGTGTCCCTATCCTTACGAGTCCTTACTGTCCCGTTTAGTCGGACAGCGCACAAACGACCATCTACTGGGATCCAGTCTAGGAGAGATAATTCTGCCCTAGGACTCAACGCTATGCCCACGCCAGCGAGACTCCTGGGAGCAGCATCAGGGCTACCGGATACACGAAGAGTGAATCGGGCTGCTTCTTCGTTTTGACAAGGTGGAATCAGGTTAACGACTTTACTAGGATCCTGTATGCGCGTTTCCGAGACGCAGCATACATCGATGGCACGAGTTTCTAAAGTCCTAGCTAATGATGCCTGTTGCCCTATTTGACACAATGTCCGTACATTAAAAGCTCCAACATGTAGTCTAGAACGGGGTTTCAAGAGACCAGGAGCGACGTTTCGTGATCTCGCTTCGTCTGCATTAGCGGTGCAGTGAGAAAAGGGAGTGTGAGTAGAGTTAGTCGTAGAGTTAAGAGAGACATTAGCGGTTGTCACTTCCCGGCTGCCCACACCGTGGAAGGTTGTTTCTTGAGGGACCTGAAAAGGAAGATAGATTAGTGTTGGTGCGTGACCGCAGAGCCCAAGGGATAACTGCTTGAGGCCGGTCACGCACGGCCTTTTTATGAAAGGTATTTAGAGGATTAGCTGCGTTCTTAAAGGCCCTTAGTGGGCATCCTTACCCAAGGAGATGGAAATCCGTGAGGTAGGGGAGGTGTGGCATTTTTAGGGTCGACCTTTTCTAACCCTTCCTTCCTTGTGAGAAGGCAGCATCGCTGTAGATGCTGGTTGTCCGAGGGAAACACCTTACTGCTGTCACACCCCTCTGCAGTCAGCAGTACGACTTCGCCCTCAGACCTTGGGTAGCTGCTATTAGTCTCATCGTTCTCCAATCGACCTGCCTGGCATGGTAGGACCTACAGGAACATATGTTCCAGCCTGTATAGCTCGGTTGGGTGATTACGATAGGCAAGCCCGACCAACACGTCAAGGTAGCAGCTACGGTCGGGACTGAGCCATGTCGGTAATTTCGGACTACCTGGTTGGGGTCCGCGAGATGATAATAATCGATGGTTAGAGACCTTGAATGACATGGCTCAAAATCGTTCGCAATGACGCCGGTGCATTTATTCTTTGTGTTCTCTCAAACCCTAATCTTCTGGATTCTTCAACACCTCTAGTTTCGACTCTCTAAACTTTTATTACGGAATCATACTGCTTGAATAGTATCTTCTATCTCTAACCTCTCCGATTACTTCTAGTTCCCTTAATACCTCTACTACTATTGGATTTGAATTGACAATTACTTCTCTGTGCTGATGTGGTATGGCAACATGAACTGATGTACTTACGTACCAAGTTCTACGTTGCATCTGACTGACTGACTGTGAAGCCAGTTATCTAGGGCATACAATTCAATAAATCTGTCATCGTATAGCAGAATACAATTCATCCTGGTTGAGCGAAAGATAAATTAGATTGATTAAAATTTGTATTCACGCCTATTTGAACACAGGACATCAAGTTGATTTGAATAAAGCTTTCAAGGCCATCCAGCATATTCCACCAAATTTACCACATGATTGTGAGTTCATCTCATGAGTATTGCTGAAGCTATTAGAATACATCTTCATGAACACAATGCTTGCATTCAAAAGAAGTTTTCACACCTACACCTATCAGTCAGTCAGTCAATTACAGCGTAGAACTACGAATGTACGTACGTCAGTTCAAGGTGCCATACCACATTAGCGTAGAGACGCAAATTTCAGTTCAAATGCCATAGTGATGGAGATAGTAGAAGAATTACTGGTAGTGGAGAATAATAGAGATCGAATATATTATTCAAGAAGTATGATTCAGTGAGATGACTTTAGTAAGAGATGATGAGGAGTTCCGAAGATTTGGATTGGAGAGAAAACAAAGAGTAAATACACCTGCACCATTCCAAACGATTTTGAGCCATGTCGTTTAAGGTCTCTAACCATCGGTTACTATCGTCTCGCAGACCCCATCCAGGTAGTCGACTTAGTCTACTTATCAGTGACTTCACGGATCTATGCCATGTCTTGGCCTGGCCGCCCCCAGCTTTCGTCCAACCTATTCCTACACCGCATAATATATAGCTCGTCGAGGCAGTCAGTGGTTAGGCCATCGTAACACATGTCCCAACCACCTCAACTGGTGACGTTTCATTACTTCATCTATTGACCTGCCATCATTACCTAGTACCCATTTCCTAATAACAGTATTGCTTACCCAGTTGTCCCACGATACACGAGCAATGCTTCGGAGACACCTGTGATCGAAAACAAGCAACCTGCGAATATCTTCTGCTCTTACTGGCCATGTTTCACAGCCATAAAGTAGGACGGAGCGAACTACTGCATAGTACACTCGTCCTTTAGTCAGCAAACGGATATCTCGCCTACGCCAAAAGTGACGCGCGTTAGCATAAGCCAGTCGAGGCTTCTTTATCTGTGCTGAGATTTCGTCACACAACAGACCATCGACAGTGATGAGACTCCCGAGATAAGTGAAGCGGTCAACATGCTCAAATACATCACTCCCTATCACTAGTTCAGGTGCCGATGCAACCCAATCTTGAAGCAACATTTTGCATTTCGACGGGGAAAACCACATTCCAAACATACTTGCATTGTTGCTCAGAATAGTCAGAAGACTCTGCATTTTGTCAGCGTCTTCACCGAATAGAACTATGTCATCGGAATATTCTAAGACAACGAGAATGTCTACTCCTGCGAATCCAGAAGAAGTTAGTGTTATATCTAGAAGCATGTTCATGAAAAAATTAAACGTACGTAGCGGACACCACTTGAAGTAAAGAATTCCGGTGACAGTTCGCCATAAGCTCTCACTCGGCCTGTAGTGTTCGAGGAGAGAGCTTGTATAAGGTTAATGTATGTCTTTGGTACGCCTTTCAATGAAGGACACTGCCACAGAACCTCACGACCCACTGAGTCAAATGCCGCTTTTAGGTCCAGAGACACGACTATTATCGGACGTCTAAATATGTGTCTGTGTTCCAGGACCTGTCGTATTGCGAAGATGTGGTCTATAGAACCACGTTCAGGTCGAAAACCAGCCTGGTTTTCCCGAGTCTGCTCTTCACGAGCTCTAGTTAGGCGTCTATGCATAATGGATGCTAACAATTTAGAAACTATATTAGTTAGACTGATTCCTCTGTGATTGCCACAAAAGGACTTTTGTCCTTTCTTATGAATTGGGAAAATCAGCGATCGAGACCAGTCAGATCGGATTATGTCCAGTTTCCAGATTCTAAGTAATATCTCAGTCAATCTAACTGCTAAAACTGAGCCACCATCCTTAAAAATCTCAGAGTTAAGCCTATCAGGACCCGCTGCTCTCCCTCGCTTAAGATTTCCTATAGTTTCTGAACTTCGTACACTCGGAAGACTTATTTCGACTTTCCATTCAGGATAAATGGAAATCGCAGGCGATCAGAGTGTGGCTGGGTGAGTCTAAAGAATTTTGATATTGTGTTCGCAGTGATGTTAAACTAATAATCATAACAATAATAGCGATAATGATAATAATAACAATAATAATAATGGTCATAAGAGTGATAAAAACAATAATAACAATAATGATAACAGTCATAATAGTAACAATAACAATAATAATAATAGTGATAATAACAACAGTAACACTAGTAATAACAATAATAATAATAATAATAGTAATGATAAATAGTAAATTAGGCTTAGGGGTTGACCTTAATAACAGGTGTTGAATGTATTTCATTTACACAAACAGCTTCGGCTTTTTAATCCTGCACTGAATGCTCTTTCGACTGCTATACGCTAGCTCTGGTTTAATATCCTACCGGTTGCATCACCCCGAAATTGTAGGAGCATGAATAGGGAATTTTTATGCACCGTTTGTATTTCGTCTATTCTACTTTTATTAATTCTCACATAAAATGCTTTGATGCGTATATGTGGCCAGATTATTCGAAACGTATAGTGAAAATACATCAAATCAACCCCATTTTCTAATTATCCTAACAAAATTTATAAAACGGACACTGCTTTAACGCATAATTAGTTAAATTTAAGCTTATATTCACGACAAAAAATAATAATCAATCGTAAAACTGCCTGTCCACGCAAAATATGTTTCAACCAACAACGGCATGGGCCAGTGTGTCGATAATTGATTTAACCAATAAGTTACCAGAAAAGGGGGATGTGCCCTTATTACTAATAAGTAAAATAGTCGTAAAACAAGGATTTCACATTCTTTGCTCAATTTGTCTCATTTCACTAAATGGCAAAATGGGAATTTTCACTACATTTGAATTATTGAGATTAAGCATATGTAGTGTATACATTATTCCAATAGATATACAGAATTTATTTTACAGGGCTGATGAAAAACTATACCATACTCTTAAACATACATTTAACAGTAAAATATTATGTGACATAACGTATACGTGAACGACAGAAATAGGTATACTGAAAAGCAACGACAATCAATTTCTGTTCCAACAAGGCGTTATAATATTTCATCTACAGTCTATCACGGGAAAAATACACAAACCATTGTATGCCTTTCCTGTTTATCACAGTCTTTCTACAGGTTTTACCTAACTTTTATAAAGATGAAGAGAGAAAGTCTTGCAAAAAAATTTAGCAGTACCATTTGTATTTGTTACATTCGTTTAATCTCATTATGAAAATCAAAAACATACTATTCACAAAGAAAGGAGAAAATAACAGTCAGTGATTTTCGGGCTTTAATGGTTGTCTAAATAAGACTATATTTAATGATGCAACCTGTGAAACTGTACGATTTCTATGAACTTCTAGACTAATAGTAATCATGCGCTGACTACAAATTAATTTCAAGGAGGCAGTTCTTGAACTTCTATGGAGAAACTATGACCAGTTGGGTCCAGTCATATCGAATATGAGGTAGATACCCACCTTTTGCATTGAAAGTTCAATGATTAACATCGTCAGCTGAAATAAACTACAGATGTTAGTCGTTTAATGCTGGCTTGATAAAGTTTAGGTGATTGTCGCAAAACCTGAAGGTCCTGGTTTCAGTCACGAGTAAAGTCATGGATTCGCGCTTCTGAAGAGTCCTACAATACAATGTAATAATTTTCTAGTGCTCACTAACTTTCACTGGCTGATGATGCTACCCATCTATTAAAACCAAAGTGAAACGGAGTACGAACAACTAACTTCTTGATAAAGAGTTGAGCACTATAAAAATTATGCCACTGCTCTACTCTACGGTAAAGTTTACAACTAAAGAAGAAGCAGTAATTAAAAGTTACTTTTTTTTAAAAAGAACAAAGATGATTACCTGAGGATCAAATACATCGCCTTCTAATGTTACTGTTTTCTTTTCAACACCAGGATGAAATGCAACACGTTTGGCTATTTCCATGTCTGGACATACTAATGCATTACCGAATACATATTCCATAACCGGTTTGAGTATATTATCATATTCTATTAATGAAAGAGCAGTGACAACATTTGATGCACCAACTAATGACTGAGCATTTTTAATAACACCATCTGATACCGGGTTTCCACGTATTTGAGTTAACGGAAGCATAGTGACACGTCGACGAATTTGACCACGTTCTAATAAAATTTTACCTGTGATTTCTGTGTCTACAACAATGTTTTGCAACTAAAATCAGAAAATATTCAGTAAAGTGAATAAAAGGACATATTATTACAATAAGGTAATTATTTCAGAAAAACAGAGTGTTGAACAGTAGTCAGTTTATATATATATATATATATATATATATATATATATATATATATATGGGTTTTTCTATTAACGTATGTGTGAACCGCATCTAAACTGTAGTGGCTAATGAAATTGCTACAATTTATACCAACCTATAAAGTTAATGTCAATTTCACTCCTTGAATAATTTACTGTTGGTAGTATCTTGATTTATATTCGCTTACTCCCATTACTGTTGACTTTCTGTAATCAGTCTGATACGTGGCTTTTAGAATTCATAAAAAATGGTACTAGTTAGTAGACCTGCCTTTGCATCAAACTGTGCGGCATATAATTCTAAAAGCAGAAATTATAAGTTTAACGCATGAAACTCATACAAACCGATAACACGTTATAATTTTACTATTTAATACTATGGATTTAAAATATCTGACAGTAGTGGAAAACGAATATCAATTAATGCATTAAAAATCACCTTGTTTCCGGCTATTACTTCCAACGCAATCGCATATTTTAAATCTTTAACACGAAACAATTTCGCAACAGGTCCAAGAACACGACGTCTATCAAAATTGGGCTCTGGATCTGTATAATCAAACACAAGTTGAGGGAATTGGGATGATAATGTTGAAGCCTGATGACGCAATTCCCTCGCTTCTTTAATTAAATTAAGTTGTTGCTCTGTAAATAAAAAAAATATTTAGTTAAGTATAAATACTAAAGAACACATTCCACCGCAATAGGCGGTAGTCGAGTGGTTGACTGTCAACAACTAGGTCGTGGATTAAAACCTCAATTCATATCCGGAGTATGAGTCAAAAGGAAATGAATTCATCTTTACCTGGCAAATACATTGGATAACTAACTGGATGATAGTGCGAAATAAAAATCAAAGCGAACAGCTGTTGTTTTTTGAGTGACATTCCTTTATTTATTCCAATAAAATACCTCAAAACATGATTTAAAAAGTGTTTAAAAGCAATTTTCTGTATTTTAAAATGGATTGGTTAAGAGTAGACTGACACTATCTCTGGTAACATCTTTTTCTACATTAGAAGGCAATCTTTTTATTCGATTACCTCTGACATGAAAAAAACTAGAAGCAAAAATTTTTGCTTCAATAACTGTGTTTATGCTCCCAACTAACATACCTACAGATTTTTTTTAATGACTGGAAGAGGAAAGCCAGATCCATCAATAAACTAAGTAATACTTTAAGAATCTTGGATCTACTTCGAAAAAAAAACTCCAGACATAAAAATACTGCCTGATTTGATAATCATAAGCATTTAGCCAAGAAATAGCTACAGACAACCAACAAAAAAGACTGTCACAATTTAAGGAACATGCTTGAATTTTGACAAAGTGACCTGCACAACTCACAAGTCTACATTTTAATAACTGTAAAAAATGTACAGCTGGAGAGTTTATTCATGCTTAATTAAAGATAACAATGTTTGGTGTTTATCTATGAATAAATAGGGCGAACAGTTTTCAAAGCACGACAATCATACTCGTCCTAATTTACAGTGGGTACCACTTACAGTCTGCGTTAAAGATAACAGCACAGACAACCATTAATTTGAATCATGGCGTTACATGCAGGATAATATGCGTACAACCTTTCTAAACCTAATTTTAGAAAATACTAGTGTTGACGTAGAAGACTGCATTTTCATTATATTGGCTTAGCATACTAACAATCCAAACAGCGAAAGTCTGTACAGAAATTTGATGTACATTAATGTTAATTTGACGCATCATCACTCACCACTTAATACTGACTCCGTACCAACAGCTCTATCATCTGCCTCAGCGCGTGTTAACTTTGTAGTTAACTGTTCAATATGTACTGTAAGTTCCTTTTGTTTAATTTCATCTTTGGATTTTTCACTCAATGATCCCCGGCCAAAAGTTTTAATGACAGCAGCTTCTTGTTTAGCAAGCTCGCTTTGTAAATGTTTCTGACGCATTTTCAATTGGGAAAGTTCAGTTTGTGCGGAGCATTTTTCACCGTCTGCGACTCTAACCTGTTCAGCAAGGCTAGCTGCTACACCGTTTTCTCCACTGGAAAGACCAGATTTCACTGCCTTTACACATAAGGAATATGAATGTATCATATAAAAAAAGGTTAATAAATGTTAATATTGACTAGGTAATTAAGCTCTTCAATTTACAAATTAAGTAAACAATAAATCCTCAGTCAGATTAAAAAGCCTGATAAATGTATAAGGTAACTTGTTCAAACTTTCAGGCCATACCAACTTTGTAACTATTACCAGAAAATTTTCTGTTTTTTTTGATGTTTTTATGATAACAAACTGAATATAGATAAAGTTATGACTGTCGGGGCTATTTTACATATCATTGTTACATATATTTTTATTGTATGGTCATTGAATAACTGGATTATTATATTTTTGTATTCTCCTTATAGTGAATTTTCACTTTTTGCTAACTAGTTACACGTCTTACTGCTTCTTAATTGTAGCCAATTAGTTAATGACCCTTTGTTCTGCTTTCTGCCACTTATAGCTTGATTGTGTAGAAGATATGATCTTTTATTTGGGGTGTTGTGGTATGATAACTCATGTAAATAGACTCGAAAGTGCTTAAGTACGATGAACGAGACTGTTTCCCAACAGATATGTTCTTGCTAACTTTACCGTCTGATCGGACACTCAGTTGGGGAGAATCCAAGGACCAACAGGTGCGAAGATCTTGGTTGTTTTTCACTAAATACTGTCATTAATAAAATCACCAGTCATCCTACAGGCGATATGGATGAGACATTCAGTAAGTGTAAACAGTAATTATCCGCTCCCGTATTAGGCAATCCAAACACACGGTAAAAGAATGAAAGGGATGAGAATTTTCGGAGATATCAGAGTTCTAACGGGCTGATTATGTATGATGACAACTTGATGCACTGAAATGCATAGAACTTATTGTGAAGATAATTACTGCTAAATTCAAAAATTTTATTACGGCGGTAGATATAGTTTCCATCTGGTAAGCTCTTTAGAAAAAATCACAGTTTATTGCATTTTAATTCAGGTACCAGATAAACCGTGTTTTGGGAAAAGATGTCAAAAGGGTAAAGTTGATAAAAAACCGTTTGCTCACAGAAGCTTCAAACATCGCTAAGTCAAATGGGTATTATGTGGTAGTTTATTGTAATATCATATATTTATGCTGATGATTATTCAATGCAATCAAATATATGGTATTTAATGAGGCTATTATTACCAATATTATGATTAGTACCAGAAAACTGGTAAGGCTTTACCTTAACAAAGTAAAAGCAATGAACTTTTAGACAACGCAGAAAAAAATATGAATGTAGCTTTAACACCTACCATCGAAACTAGAATAGACTGCTAAACTGTCAAACATATCGACAGATGCTTTATCCTAGTACGAGAATTCTCAGTAGTGTGCACCCACAACTACACGGAAACTTTAGGTCTCGAGAGAGAACGCTTAACCTCAATCGATTTGCGATACTGCGTGATTATTTGCAATCGACTTTGATGGGTAACTGCATCGTTCCCGACACGCTTTAACTCCAGTAACTGTTGTCAACCGTGTTGACACAAAACTTTAAGAGATTTCTATCTTTAATGAATATAATTTAACGTTCAGCCACTAACTAAACCACCAATATTAAAAATCTCTGAGATTCATCATGAATACATACTGAAAAGAACACTAAAATCTTGAATGACAGGAACTGAGCATAAACTACGAAAGAATCTTCATTACTACAAAAATAACGAGAGTTTTTCGAAAAACTCAAACAGTTCAATTAATTTTAAGCAGTCTAAGATGTAATACGGAAACAATAATGAAAAATCCATTAGCTGTGTAGTTGTCAACAAACATTCCTAACAGATTAATTATACGTATATGGTCATATGCATTTAACTCTCTTTCTAATTCACCGAATATAGCCCTCGAAACACTGCAGAATGTAGGAAACCATTATTTTCGCCCGTATGATATATACCGTTTTTAATCGAAAGACGCCTGCAAACTTTTTCTATCATGACAAATCCAAAGTAAAGAATCTTATTTAACTTCAGATGTACTCAAAAAAAAACATTAAAATCAACAGTATTTGTTTACATGAAGGATTAGCTACTATATTCCATTTATGTAAACGATATCTTGGTCACCTAAAATAATCACCCCCAAACATGGAACGGTTGATTTAAAGAATAATAATTTGAGGACTATGAGTTACTAATCTGAATTAAACGCTTACCTGGAGACGCTTTTGAGCTGCTTCAAATTTAGCTTTTGCTTCTTCAGACTGTGCTAGAACAGATTGGTACTCAACACCAGCAGCAGCTTCCGCTGCCTTATGTTTATAAGACAACTGCTCGTCAAGCTCAATACACTGTGACTCCATAGACTGAACACGCTTTTTGGCGGCTTGCAGAGATTCAGATGCTCTCTGAGAAGCTCCTTTAGCAACTGCTTCTGTTTTTTGACATGCAGACATCGTAGACTCCAGTTCTTCAAGTGCTGCTCCTTGAAACTATATAAGCGCCTTACAAATAAAACAATACAACCTACTTCGTCTCTTTGTTTGCAAAGTTCAGCAATACGAGCTTCTATAATTTCTTTTGAGTTCTGTAGCTAAAAAACAAACAGGATAAGCAAAATCTCTATGAGATAATTACTTTTTCCATATACTTCTTTTGCTCATTCAATGAACGTTCAAGAGTAAGTAAATCTCCTTCTGTTCGTTTTTTAGCTTCCTAAACATCAGGTATATCTTTACCAACACGTTTAATAAATAACTGACCTCTAAACAGGTGAAGTCATAAGCAACAATGAACTTTTCCAGATGATTAATTTCACGCACAACCTTCTGATATTCTAAGTAACTGCTTCGTTCTTCACGCAATTTTTTAATGGTAGGATTAATATCTTCATTAAGAATCTGTGAAAGAGATGAAAAAGATGGAAAACTTACTCTATCTATTTCTCTTAATTTACTGTCTTTCTTTTCAATAGTTTTAAGTGCTGCTTCCTTTTTATTTTCATAAAGTTTGGTGCTTGCGGCTTCTTCTAATAATGAAAGGATCTAGTTTATATTTAAGTCTAACATAACACTTGTATGACTAACCTCAGGTGGTTTCATATTTAATATTTTTGTTATGCGACCTTGCATAATTAGGAAATGGGGATTATTAACATTCAGTTGAACTGAGTGAAATAAATCATGAACCCGTGTAGTGGTTGCATTTGTCCCATTAATCAGATATTTATTTCTACCTCCAACGACAATTTGCTTTGTGATTGTGAGTTCATCAAACTGCTCATAGCCGTATGGGGATTGTGATTTGTCAACATTATCAAATACTGCGCTCACAGTAGCCTTGATTATTCCTGCTTGGCCACATTTGTATACCAGTTCATGTAGGTTTGCAGCCCTCACCTATAGTTTGGTTATAAAGAAGTTGCCAACTCACATGCGAAAGATTTGTTATTCCAAGAAGAAAACATATAGCGTCTAATATATTTGACTTCCCAGAACCATTTAGCCCAGTAATTGCATTGAACTGTGGATCAAATCCATTAATCTCCGTTCTCTGACAGTAAGATTTGAAACCATCAATAACCAACGACTTTATATACATTGCCAGACGTGGAATACCAAGGAACTGAAATAGTCAGTAAACTAAGGATGCATGACAAACATTAAATGAATACCAAGGTAACAAAATCCGTAAAAATTCTGGGACAAAGTTGCATCAGTCTAAACTACCGTGGTTAGCAACAATAGAGAACGGATGCGCAAGAGGGAAGAGGTGAGAATTAATAGCGATATTACTAGAAACTTAGAGATCAATACTGAATTCAAAGTGAAGTTTTGACATAATTACAAAAAGAAGCTGTAATCAACAGTCACGAAGTTTATTTAGTTTCTTCCATTATCATATAAGAAAGAAACTCCACTTATCTTTACAAGCTTGATGCTTAATACGACTGTTAACAACAACGCTTAGTGACCTCAACAACACAGAGGACATGAAATCCGAACCTACGCCAAGGTGATGTTGAAAATAACCTTGACTTGGATAATGTAAATAGTAAAACACAACGAAATTCTACTTCGTTCACCAGACGAAAATCTTGTCCTAAAATCTTCAAAATCATTATTTTTAATATTCTGAGGGTTCCTCAATTGGGAGTAGATAATTCGAATCTGAAAACAGTCGTCTTCGCAGAATGTATGTTCGATATTTATTTCAGAAACACTGTATGTTGCTTCATATAGGATCTGTTCATGTAACTTGTATGGTGATGTTATGAATAATATAAAAACAGACAAGAACTAACGATTTCAATGGATAGCTCATAGTGATTATTGTTGACACATACTTGACTACTCGTTATAAAAATATTCCTACTTTCTGTTATTAAGGATTCGAACTTGCTTCAAGGAAGAAGAGTTGTAGATTGAGGCTGAATGGATGAGACATTTTAGATAGGTAATTAGAAAAATTTCCTATAGGTTACTTTGCTTTCCACTATTTTTCGAGTGCAAATCACAAATTATGTTATCGAATTCGGGGCACTGTTAGCCTTATCGCTAATGGTAATGGGGTTACTGTCGTCCAGACACAAGGGATTTTTCTACTCTGTCTACTAGCCCTGCCAGATACACGGATAGTTTGTCATTAATGAAAAGCTTACTGATTATGATGGGATTATAGTAGGTACTTATATGTCGAGCCCACATCGCTTGACCTAGCCTCTGAACAAATTAACCAATCTATTCTCTCCTAGTCGTCATCCACACATCCTTCTATCTTGTCAGTTATTCACTCATAACTTGGTTGTGTGCTTCTGTGTGTCGTTTACTTCAACTGCTGATGTCGAATTATAACTGATTAGTCATGACTCATCGCAACGAGTTGCCCCGCCTTTTATCTTCACCTCCGTCTGCGTGAACAAATGCATGAAACGAACTTTTCCAACTGAATACGTAGTTAGTTTATTATTATCGCGTAAGAATGATATATGGAGATTAGATGACGGATTTATTTCATAATGAATAAATAATTTATCCAAACCGCAGTCTGATCACGGGTCGCAAAAGGAGTCCCTCTGTCAACTAACACGCTAACAGTCTGACTTTTCTTATGTGGGTTGAGACAAATTTATAAAAAGTAAATAATTATCGGAATGAACTAAGTTCAATGATCCAAAGTATGCCTTAAATGTACACATTTGCGACGCTGTATTTTCATCACTTACTATGTTTGAGGCAATGAACATGCAGGTACAGGTCTTAATTCAGAGGTTAATTATAAATCACAAGTCTTTTTATCTAGTCACAGGATTATAAGAAAGCTGAAACTGACACTAGATAGTAAACATCAGGGTAATGTGAACCACATGGACCACCCAATTCAAACACCAAAAGCGAGTCTCCAAAGTAGCAACTAAAATCACATTCCCTTCCAGATTTCTGTTCCTAGTAAGTGAAGTCATAAACAAGAACTAATAGAAGAGGGTGTCCTCAACTTCCAGGGACGCATACCGCTTTCGGTAAAAGACAAAACGACAACTGTGTCACGCGCTCATCGCTCATTCAGACCAGTGACTCAATATATTGATGAGATTCCTTTGGTGTCTGGGTTCACCGTTAGAGTGATGAATTTGTACCGAGATAGCAATAGGGGTTCTTGTTAAGTCGCTTCTGTCTCATGTTCTGGCACCTTTGTCCATGCTATCAAAGCAACTAACAAATGAAAAGCATAAGTCCCCATTGAAAACAATCACACTGATCCCTAGCACCAGCAAATCGGACATCCTGGGAGTCATAACTCGAGCTCAACACCAATTAAATTACTAACCACAGCAAATACCGAAATTTCTGTATACATGAAGGAGAGGTGGGTGGGGGATAGTAAGTATGTAGAAGTATCGTAGCCCCTAGAACGCTAAACATCAAGGGAAGAGACGGAACACGTAACCCACTGAATTCACCTAATTTTAAATTTTAGGACGGTAGTTTGGTAGAAAGCGGGCTAGCTTTTGATAAACTACAGCAGGATAAACACTGCACAATGATTGGACGGGGTAACACTGACCCGAATTCTGCCGTTTTTACAATGGCCAAAACGTCACAATAGGTAAACCCTCTGCACCGAATGTGGATCGGGATTCAGCACATATTACAGAAGAACTCTTCATGACATCGTGGAGACTGTCGTCCAGGCTGTCTTATTTAAGCCGAGTTAGAAACAACAAGCTGTAAGCCGAGACAGTTACAACTGGAAGATCATCGTCAAAAACCCAAGAACCAACTACTTTTTTTACCCCTTACTATAGCCATTGGAAGAACAGGATATGCTGATATTGTGGGTTGGACTCAGACCATGCTCTAGTGAGAGCGCCTATTCGCTTGCGGCTTACTGGAAGTAGGAAAGACGCCGCGAGTAAACCTCTTAGGGTTCTACTTAATGATAATAAAGCTAAGAATATATTTCAGGTGCAACTAGAAAGGGAGTTAGGAAGACATTTAGTAAGTGATGTCCACCCTGATGTGGCTTGGAATGATGTCAAAAAGACTATGGAAACAGAATTGATATATTCTAGTAAGGTAAACCATTAGGTTAGGGACAAGCCATGGACTTCAGTAGCATTTATCGAACTGATGGATGTTCGAAAACTCATCCCTCCTGGCCCTGAGTCTGATGAGGAGCGGAGGCAGCTCAGGCACATGCTGATAAAAAGCCTTCGCAATGATCGAGAGAGGTGTTGGGTAGTGAAAGCTAGCGAGATGGAAAAGGCAGCGGTGATAGGCAACAGTAGGCAACTATTCAGACTCATTAAGGATATCGGTTTCAGGAATGTGAGTGAAACTATTTCAGTAAAGTATGGTTTTATTATTTATTCTCAATCCAGGAGATTGGATCGATGGGCAGAACACTTCAGGAATCAGTTCATCTGGCATTCAGACACACTTCGGTTACCTACGATCTCCAGTCATTCTGAATGGGAAACCGACATACTTCCTCCTAGTCTCTATGGAGTTGAAAAAGCTATAGGAAATCTGAAGCGAGGGCGTGCGGCGCGTCCTTGTAGATTGACCCCTGATATTTTTGAGGATGGTGGTCCAGTTTTGGCAGCTACATTGACTGAGATGTTGGGTAGGATCTGGAAACTGGATGTGCCCCTAGACATACAGGCATGTTTGGGATGCGGTTTTGCCCCCGAAATGCAAAATGTTGCTTCGAGGTTGGGCTGCATTGGTAACTAAACTAGTGATAGGGAGTGAGGTATTTGAGCATGTTGACCGTTCCACTTACCTTCGGAGTCTCATCATTGCCGATGGCCTGATGACTGACAAAATCTCAGCACGGATACAGAAGGCTTGATTGGCTTTTGCCAACCTGCGTCACCTATGGCGTAGGCGAGATATCCCTTTGCTGACCAAAGGACGAGTGTACTGCACACTAGTTCTCTCAGTCCTACTTTATGGCAGCGAATCATTTCCGGTGAGAGAAGAGGATGTTTGTTTTCGATCATTGGTGTCTCTGACGAATTGTTTGTGTATTGTGGGACAACCGAGTAAATAATGCTGTTGTTAGGAAACGAGTACTAGATAAAGATGGCAGGTCAGAAGATTAAGTAATGGAAATTCCTTAGTTATAATAATAATAATAATAATTTATTCTCAAATAACAAACATATTACAAGAGACATGCCAATTTACAGGCAAGATCAAAATGTTAAGATTAGCAACATATTTTTTTCTGAAAACGGTATAAAGTTACTGAAACATTTCACAAGATTCATTGTTTTCTTGCAGATGGAATGTACAAAGCGATCAATTGGCGCAAGTTACGAAGGTTGCGTTACGACAATCATCTTATGGGCTGAGAAATGATTCATGGTACAGACAGGTTTTCATATAACAAGAATTGATGCGGTAAATGTACAAAAGTCTGGTTGAGGTGGTTGGGTCATGTGTTACGTATGCCTAACCACGGACTGCCTCGACGAGCTATATATTATGCGGTGTAGGAATAGGTTGGAAGAAAGCTAGGGGCGGCCAAACCAAAACAAAGTAGACTAAGTCAAGCCGGTTGGTGTCGACTTTCTGGTTGGGGTTCGCGAGAAAATAATAATCTATGGTTAGAGACCCTGAATGACGTGGCTGAAGACCGTTTGGAATGGCACAGGCGCATTCATTCTTTTTGTTCTATCAAATCCCCAAAATTTTTAATTCCTCATCACTTTATCGTTATCTTTTTAAGTTTATTTCACAATATTCCACTTCTAGAATTGCGTCCTCTAATCCTAATCTCTCCGATTACTGCCTATACTTCTACTACCTCTGCTACTATGGGATTTGAATTGGTGATTACGTCTCTGTGCTAATGTCGTATGGCAACATGAACTGATGTACGTACTTAAGCATGTAGTTTTAATTTGCTATTGATTAACTGATTGAAATTGTGGGTAAAACCATGGATAGTGATAGGAGCTGGAAGCCGTCAGACTTAGATTCTTTGCTAGCGAATGATCTTCTCCTAACTTAAGATGTACATATCTTTAACATCAAAACGATATCATTACCGTGAAACAATCATTCCGGTCGTAAGAGAAATGATGTTGAAGA